CAATTCTATTTTTTTTTTATCATTTCTTTCTTCGTAATTCACCTTTCATTTTCTTCTCACTATTTCACTTATCGTCATTTTCTTCCTCATTCTTCCCCTCCTCCTCCTCCTCCTCCTCCTCCTCCTCCTCCTGCTCCTGCCTGCTCCTGCTCCTGCTCCTGCTCCTGCCCTCCTCCTCCTCCTCCTCCTCCTCCTCCTCCTCTTTCTCCTCCTCCTCCATCTCCTCCTCTCCATCTCCTCCTCCTCCTCCTCCATCTCCTTCCTCTCATTTCTTTCTTTATCTTGTTTAAATTCATATACAACATCTGGAGGGAAGATATATTCTTCGACCCCCCTCCCCCCACCCCCTGGTTCCTTGGGCACTTTCCCGAACTCTGTAATTGTTCGGAAATTGTGGTCACCCCCTTAAGCAGTGTGTGTGTGTGTATGTGTGAGTGTGTACGTGTGTGTGTGTGTGGTGTGTGCGTGTGCGTGTGTGTGTGTGAGAGTAGACATGTGTGTGTATGTGCTGTGTGTGTGTGTGCGTTTTGTGTGTGTGAGAGAGAGAGTAGGCATATGTGTGTATGTGTGTGCGTGAATGTATGTATGTATGTGTGTGTGAGCGGGTAGGTACGTGTGTGCGCGTCTCTAACTTCGTCGAACTGTGTGCGGAAACTTGTGCCGAACTTAAGTCTTGAGTAAACACGGCCTCGAACATGCCCTCACCTCGTTATCTCTATTATCTATTTTTGATTATCTGATCCGGTGCACCTGTCACCAGCAACGGGATCGGCGAGGCAGGTGTGTCTCCGCAGTTAATGACATAATTTGCATACCTGGCTTGGGTTGGTCTTTTTTTGCTGGTTAATGATGATGGTGACGTTGGCAATAAGGATTGGGGATGATGGTAATAATGATAAGGATGATGATGATGGGGATAGTGATGATGATGATGATGATAATGCGATGATGGTAATAATGATGTTGGTGATGGTAGTGGTGATAATGATAATGCGATGAGGATAATAATGATAATAGTGATAATGATAATGATTATAACATCGATTATGATCTTGGTGATCGTGATGATAGTGATAATCATTATGATAACAACAACAGTGATAATGATAATATTGATAACGATAAAAATAACAACAGCAACCAATACGACAACACTAATGATAACGATAGTAATATAGTAATAGTAATAATAATAAAAATAAAACTTCTTAATTTTCCCTTCTAATTTTTCCCTCTCTTTCCCCAGGTAAGTCAGCGGCCGAGTGGACAGCTAGACAGACAGACAGACAGACCGTAAGTAGATTTCCCCGAAGGACAAGATGCTCCACGGATGCTGCGTCCTCAAATCTCTCTCTCTCTCTCTCTCTCTCTCTCTCTCTCTCTCTCTCTCTCTCTCTCTCTCTCTCTCTCTCTCTCTCTCTCTCCTCTCTCTCTCTCTCTTCTCTTCTCTCTCTCTCTCTCTCTCTCTCTCTCTCTCTCTCTCTCTCTCTCTCTCTCTCTCTCTCTCTCTCTCTCTCTCTCTCTCTGTCTGGGTCCTGTAAGATTTATGTATGCATGTGTGTATGTATACATTTATGTATGTGTGTGTTTAGGATAGTACAGTAATAAAAAGAAATTAGTAAACTGGTAAATGATAAGTAAAGAAAATAGATAGAAAATAAATAGATGAATAATGAAAATAGACACTGGCAAAAGATGAGTAAACAAAAAAGATAAATAAATTAATACATGATGAAAATAAAAACACACGTAACAAAATAAATGCCAAGTCAACCGTATCAATCCGCAATCAAGAGATACAATGATTAGAAGGGAATGGTTTAGTGCCATAGACCCACCTCCCCCCCTTCCTCCAGGCGCCCCCTCCTCCCCCTCCTCCCCCCTCCCTCGCGCACTTTGTTTGGGCGAAGGGGCGGCTGGTGTAAACGGTTTACATTTACGGTTTACTTTACTTGTGTTGGGACTGCGGGGAGGCCTGTGTTCGAGGGTGGTGGGGTTGGGGAGGTTGGTGGGTTTGGGTTGGGTGGGGAGGATGTGGGAGGTGGGTGGGGTCTGGGTGAGGAGGTGTGTGGGTTGGGGTTGGGGAGGTTGTGGGTTGGGGTGGGAAGGTTGGTGGGTTTGGGTAGGATGTGGGTTGGGTTGGGTGGGTTGGGGAGGGAGGTGGTGGGTTGGGTGTGGGAGATGGTGGGTTAGGGGTGGGGAGGTGGTTAGGGGTGGGGAGGTGGGGTGTGGGTTGGGACGGGGAGGTTAGGGTGAACCTACGCCGGCGCCTCCTTCAGAAGAACTCCTCCTACGCCTCCTCCAGCGCCTCGTTAAGCAGCGAAGGTTGAGGAAGAAGTGTCCCCTGCACGTCTTGGGTAGTGTAGGCCAAAGGGAAGCGGAAGCGACAAGCAATTTCACACCAGTTGGGTGCCGCTGGGGTGGAGGGTGTGGTGAGGGAGGTGGGGTTGTGTGGGGGGAGGGGATAGGGTGGTAATGGGTAGAGGGTGGGAAGGGGGGTTGGGGGATTGTGTGGGGTAGGGGATAGGGTTGGGTAAAGGGGGTGGGAAGGAGTGGAGAGAGAGGTTGGTGGATGGAGGAGGGGTTGGGGTATTGGTGTGGTGGGCATGGGGAGGTAAGGAGAAGGTTGGGTATGGGGTGGTTGTAGGGGGTAATGGGTAAGTAGGGGGGAGGTGGGGATAGGGGGCTAAGGGGAGTCGCTTGTAGGGGTTGGGTGCTTGGAGGAAGGAATAGGGGGTAGAGGGAATGGGGGTTGTGGGTGGTAGGGGAAGGTAGAAGTACTGAGATATAGGAGGAGGTGGAAGGGAGTGGGGAGTAGGGGGTCGTAGTGGTTAGTGGGGTAAGGGGTAAAGGGTAGACGAGATAGAGAGTTAGGGTTTGGTAGAGGTAGATGGGGGTTATAGTGGGACCTTGAAGTAAGGGTGGGGTGATGGGGAAGGGGGGAAAGGGAGATATGGGTGGATGCCCCTGGCGTGAAATGAGTATGTTCTGGCCAGAGATTCCGCCTCCGTTTCCCATATGGGTGAGGCTATCACGTGACACCTGCAGCAAGTCGACCTTTTCGCCCCTCTAGTCTGTGTGTGTGTGTGTGTGTGTGTGTGTGTGTGTGTGTGTGTGTGTGTGTGTGTGTGTGAGAGAGAGAGAGAGAGAGAGAGAGAGAGAGAGAGAGGAGAGAGAGAGAGAGAAGAGAGAGAGAGAGAGAGAGAGAGTGTGTGTGTGTGTGTGTGTGTGTGTGTGTGTGAGAGAGAGAGAGAGTGTGAGTGTATGTATGTGTTGTATGTATGTGCGTCCGTCTATAAATATATATATATACATATATGCGCTTGTGTATGTATGTGTGGCTTACCTGAGACTCTGGTTTACCTTTCCCCGTCTTAAGATGATCTCCAGTGGCTTGGACGAAAGGATTGGAAACTAAGCTTCTCATAATTAAAACGTAGGCGGTTAAGAGTAGAATTTGATAGCAGGGAGGAAGGAGGAGGGAAAGGGTGGGTAAAAGGGGGAGGGGGAGGAGGAGGAGGAGGAGGGAAGGGGGTAAATGGAGGAGTGGAAGGAGGGGACAGGAGGAGGAAGGAAGGAGAGGGGGGAGGGGGGAGAGGAGTAGGAGGGAGGTAAAAGGAGAGGGAGAAGGGAAGGGAGGAGAGGAGGAGAGGAGTGGGGTAGGGGAAAGGAAAGAGGAAGAGAGGGAGAGAGTCCGAAAGAAGAATAAGAAGAGAAGGAAAGGAAAGAAAAAATTAGAAAGAGGGAGAGAGAGTCCGAAAGAAATGATAATAATTTCGAAATGAAGGAGGCGGATCCCCCTTTTGAGCTGTGGCGGGTTGGGGGATCTCGTGGCGGATTTTTGTGTTTGCGTTCCTTACTGGGGAATGTCGCGGTGAAGGTCGTCTTTTTCTCTCTTTTCTTTTTCTTTTTTCTTTCTTTTCTTTTTCTCTTTTCTCTCTTTCTTTTTTTCTTTCTCTTTCTTTTTTCTTTCTCTTTCTTTTTTCTTTCTTTCTTTTTTTCTTTCTCTTTCTTTCTCTTCTTTTTCTTCTCTCTCTCTCTTCTCTCTCTCTCTCTCTCTCTCTCTCTCTCTCTCTCTCTCTCTCTCTCTCTCTTCTCTCTCTCTCTCTCTCTCTCTCTCTCTTCTCTCTCTCCTTTATCTCTCTCTCTTTATCTCTCTCTCTCTTTCTCTTTCTCTCTCTCTCTCTCTTCCCTCTCTCTCTCTCCTTCCCTCATATTCTTTCTTTCTTTCTTTCTTTCTTTCTTTCTTTCTTTCTCTTTCTCTTTCTCTTTCTCTCGTGTTCTTTCTCTGTTCACTATTGTTTTTCTCATCAATTATCTATCTATTTTCCCTTTGTTCTATTTCTTTATTCTCCGTGTTTATCGTTTTTGAGTGTTTTTTTATATCTTCCTCCGTTTCTCGACTTTTTTCTCTCTCTTCTTTTCTCACCCTTTTATTTCCGTCATTCTTTCTTTTTCCCTTTTTCTTTCTCTTGTGTTTATTTCTGGATTTCTTTCTCTCTCTCTCTTACTTTCTCGCGTTTGTATTTCTGTCTTTCTTTCTCTCTCTCTTTTTCTTTTTCGCGCTTTTATTTCCGTCCTTCTTTCTTCCTCTCTCCTTCCCTCGCTCCTTCAAGGTGTCACTTCCCAAGGTCGTATTTGTGCGTCGGTGGCATTTCCCGATGCGGTGACATAAGCTCCCTGGCCTATTATTGGCCCCCGCCATGCACCCTGACTAATTACCGGCTCCACTTATGCTCCCTTTGAGATACGGACACGTCTTTGGCACCAGATTCGTCGCTCGTGTTTTTTTTGGCACTTTTTTTCAACTCGCAATGAAGTGATTTAAGTGGTGATAGGGGCACTGCGTACTTCCGGCACCATGGCGAGTGTGCCACCACGCTGGTATCAAACCATGCGACGGCACACCACACCCCGGGCCACACCACACCACACACCACAGCGACCAGGCAGAGCCCCCTGTGTGCGGGATCTCTCAGTTGGCACGAGAGAGGGAGAGGGGAGAGAGATAGAGGGGACCAGAATCTCGGGGACTGGGGGCTTGCCTGCTGTGTGTGCTCCTCCTGTGTGTTTCCTCCTGCTTGGCCACGAGAAGAAAAAAAAGAGGAAGACACCATCGCCACACCATCTTTTGAGGAGTGGAGGAGAGGAAGAGGGGGCGGCGACCTCTCTTCGCCATCATCGTCATCGTCGCCACCGCTATAGGGGCTGCAAGAGCTTTGTTTGTGTCGCCGAAATCGGAGGTGAGGGAGGGGAAACGAGGGGAAGTGAGGATAGTGTATTGCGTGTATATATCTCGTTATTTGGTGTGTTTTTTTTTAAGTATTTATCTATCACTCAGTTGATTTATTTGATCATTTATTCGTTATTTTATATCTCCCTTTATTATTTGGTGTTTTTTTAAAGTATTTATCTATCACTCAGTTATTTATTGATCATTTATTCGTCATTTATATCTCCCTTTATTTGGTGTGTTTTTTAAAGATGTATTTATCTATCTCTCGGTTTATTTATTGATTTTATTTCGTTTTTTTTTTTGGGGGGGGGGAGGGGGGGGATTATGTACGCGTTTGGGTTTTGTGTAGATTTGTATTTTGTGATTTGTGCTTTTGTTGTTTGGGGGGAATAATTTTCATGAGGCACGCTTTAGGAAACCTGTCTTATACTCCTTGTTAGTTGTCTTGATATGACTTAAATCATCATCTATATATTTTCCAATCTATGTATGTAATTTGTTTATTTATTTCTTCCTTCATTCATCCTTTTTAATTTATTTTAATCATGCATTCATCCTTTTTTATTTTTTTTTTTTTATTTTTTTTTCGTTTTCGTATGGTCACCATGCATAGTTTTGTTTACGGATTGCCTCCTGTGATACTGCATGTGTAATGGTTCATTCACTCTCTGTGTGTTCATGCAGTGGTGCGCGGGCATGGTGTTATCCGCATGACACTCTCTGATGGTGTTTACCGTGCATGGCGCTGCTGCTGCTGCTGCCTGGGGTGATTACAGTGCTACGGTTTCTATTGCTTTAGGGCGATTATTCAGTGTCCGTTAGGAAACACTGCCGTTAGGTTTAATGATATCCCGCCCGTGTTGATAGGCTGGGTCAGTAGTATGTATGTGAACGGATTGTATATATATAATATATATATTTATATATATATATATATATATATATATATAATATATATATTGTATCGGTATTACAGGCGATGGGCTTTGCGATCGGAATGGCCTCGTTTCGGCTCTAATGGTGTCGATTGGAAATGCGCGTGGTGGCCTGTCGGTTTGTGTGTGTGTGTTGTGTGTGTGTGTGGTGTGTGAGAGAGAGTGAGAAGGAGAGAGAGAGAGTGTGAGAGACGAAGAGCGACCGAGAGCGAGCGAGTTAGTAAGCATGAGCGTGCGTGCATACATGTACGTGCGTTCTACGTGTATGCCTACATGTGCGTATTTGCCTTCCCGTTCTTGATAACGTCGGGCCGCGGATTCGGAGACGAAATATGGCGTTCGTGATTCCGAAATGATCGTTAACTCAGGCTGCCGCCCATTGGTAATTACGTATGGCGTTTGCAGTCCTGGCTTGCAATGATGATTATGTGAATGTTTGATAGGGGAGAGGGGATGGGGGAAGAGGAGGGAGGAGGATGTAGGGGAAGAGGGGGAGTGGATGGGAAGGAGGGGGAGGAAGGTAGGAGGGGAGAGGGAGGAGGAGGGGGGAAGAGGAGGAGAGAGAGGAAGAGGGAAGAGGGAAGGGAGGAGGAGGGAGGAAAGGGAAGGGAGGAAGGAGAGAGGAAGGGAAAAAGGTAAGGAAGGAGGGAGGGGAGAGGAAGGAAGAGAAACAGGAACGGGAGAGGAAAGAAGAAAAGGGTAGAGAGGCATTTACGATTTTTAATTTGCGGCGGCCCGTTTGGCAGATCGGATGACATTACGCTTTTTGATGTCATTTATTTTTCTTCTCGTTCCCGTTGGAGATTATTTTCTGTTTTCCAACTGTTACTGATTTTTCGCGCGCGTTCTCTCTCTCTTTCCCCTTTGCCTTCAGAATCTCTCTTTTCTTCTTCCTTCTTCTTCGTTTTTTTTGTTTTTTTTTTTCTTTTTCGTTTCGCTTTCCTTCATTCCCGTTCTTGCGTTTTTTTCTATTTTCTAATAGTTCTTGTAAGTACCTCCGTGACTAATCCTTTTCTCTTTATTCTCTCCTTTTCTTCTTTCCTCTCCCATGTTGTTTTTCTTCCATTCCCCCATTCCCTCTTTCTCCTCCGTCCTCCTTCCTTCTTTCCTTCTTCCTCAATTTTCTCCTATCCCCCTCCCATTCCTCCTCTCCCTCTTCCCCCTCCTTTCCCTCCTCTCCCCCTCTTCCCCTCACGTTCCTCCTTGTTCTTTTTCCCCTTCCGCTCCCCTTTTCCTCCCTTTCCACCCCGCTTGCCTTCCTCTCCCTCCCCTCTTCCCCTTCCCCTCCCCTCCCTTTCCCTCCTCCCCTCCCCTTTTCCTCCCCCTCCCCTCCCTCGCCCTTCCCCTCCCTTCCCCCTCCCCCTCCCTGCGTTCCCATACCATGATATAGCCTAGAAAAAACGAAAGGAAACAGCGCTCTTGTGCTTTGTTAATTATAATTCGTCTGCAGTGTATTTTTGTTAGGCTGTATTTGGCCTTTGTCATCCTTCCTTCCGCCTCTTTCTCTCTCCTCTCCCCACTGCTTCCCTCTCTCTTCTCCTTCTTTCTTTCTTCTCTTTATCATTTGCGTATTTTCCTTTTCCTGTTTTCCTGTTGATGTGAAAACTTCTTGCCATGGTCCCTGTATTGGTTCGGAACTACTCACCCAGCCTCCTTTCTTTCTTTTGTCTTTCTTTTCGTTTTGTTTGTTTATTATAGGTATCTTCGTTATTTTGTTCTGTCTTATTTCTTCCCTGTTTATTTATCTATTATTTGTTTGTTTGTTTGTTTTCTAGAACATATTTTTCGCAGCAGGTTGAGTGGGAACCTACCTTTCCTTAGCTCGCCTTTTTTTCTATCCTTTTCTTCTCACTTTAATCTCCTATTCTCCTCTTCCCTTCCCTCTTGTTCACTATTCCCTCTCAGTCCACTGTTAGTCCAATCTTTTCTTCCGCTGTTCTCTCTACGATACACAGATATCCTCATGTATTCTTCACAGTTCGACTCGTCCCCTTCGTTTTTCGATCGTCTTTCTTATAAACTGGTCGGACTCTGTAAGAAATTTTCTTTCTTCCTGTAGGATCCAAGAGAATCTACGGACCTTTTATTAATCAAGGGATTATTTGTGTCTTTGATATGTTAATTAACGAATAAGGAAGGGGTTGAAGTAGATAAGAAAAAAGAAGAATGTACACTGCACTTTAGACAGCATGTGGATCCTTAAAGGTGAACACATAGAGAGCTACCCAGCAGAAAGAAGAGAATATTGAGAACAAGGGTAGGTGATGAAGAAAAAGGAGAAGGAGAAATAATCAAAGCATCAAGGTTGCCAAAAACGAACACACCTGACCCCGTACCTCAGGCTAAAATAATACTCAATACTGCACACTAACGAAAGACGACAAAAGATAAAACAGAAAAACGGCAGTTCGCGTGTCAGCCCTCCTAAACCAACTCTAAACTATTGTATATGGTTACACCATCAGCAAGCGCCTTACGTTGCGGGATGCCATGCTGGCTTTTGATGCTCCGGCGATGCTGCGATGCCCCCAGGGGATGCCGCCCGGGGTATCCCCCTTACCCTCCCACCGGGCGAGAAGACGGGGGAAAACACACAACGGCCACATACATATATAAAACCACACACAAAACGCATGCACACACCCATACAGCGCACGCCCATCACATATACACTTCACCCACCCAAACATACACACACGCTCACGCATGGACGCACGGACGGCACATACAACACACACACACAACACCACACACCACATTCACACACACCCACCAACATCACACACACACACACATCAACACACACACACATCACACACAAACCTTCCCTCGAACTTCCGGCTTTTCTTCCTATCTGATTGATGGCCTGTTCGAGGGGGGGGGGCCTCCGGGGCCCGGGGTCCTCTTGCGGGAAAGGGTGGTGAGCCGCCCCTTGTGTGGGTTCCGTGTGCTAGGGGATTCGAGGGTGAGGGTGTGCTGTGGGGGTGTCTAGGGGGTATTTGGAGGTGAATTGGATCGTGGGAGGGTCCTCCTCCGGGGCTACTCCCTCCCCTGTATTTTTCTCTCCCGTTGGCGGTTGGTTTTGTCTATCTCTGTCTCGCACGGGTGGCTGAGGAGAGAGGGGTAACGGCGTGAACTGAAGGGGTGAGGGGGTGAGGGTGAGGGGAGGTGAAGTTTAAGGATGATGGAGAGGTTGAGGGTGAGGGTGAAGTTGAAGGGGAGGGATGAGGTGAAGCTATGGGTGAGGGTTACGGAGCCGGAGAGGATTGGGCAGGGGTAAGATATACTGTGTCTTCCGACTACCGTTCTTTCCATTTTTTAGAACCCGCTTGTGAGGAGATGGGTTGATTTAGTGTTACCTTCACTTGCTCATTCGCGTGTGTCTCGGAGTTGTGTAATTGCTGCCTGTGTGCTTATAGACTTATTTTATGCCCTTCTATTTCGTCTTCTTAACTGTATAAATAAAACATTTCTCCATTAAAATCCTTGTAATGTATACGAGCCTCAGCGACCACATTCTGAAAATTCCATCTCCTCGAGATGGGAGCAGCAAGCGCCAGTCTTGCCTTCTCCTCCTTCACACGCTCTCACTTCTCTCTCTCTCTTCTCTCTTCCTGTTCCGCTTCTCTCTCTCATTGCTCCTCCTCCTTCTCTCTCCTCATCTCTCTCTCCTCTCGTCTCTTCTCTCTCTGTGCGCGTTCCTTCGGGCTTCCTCCTTCTCTCTCCCTCCTTCTTCTCTCTTTCTCCTCTCTCCCTCTCATCGTGTCGTCTTCCTCTCTCAAGCACCATCCACCCCTAAGTTTATCAACTCTCATCATTCTTCGATCAGCCATTAACAACTTGAACGATTATTGCTCTTATGCAATCTGGTGGACATTCTGACATGCAAAGTTAAATGCAGGAGGAGGAGGAAGGCTCTCCCGTAAGACGGAGGAGCGAGGAGGAACGGGGAGGTGGAGGGGAAGGGGAGGGGAGGGGGAGGGGAGGGGAAGGGAGGGGAGTGGGAGGGGTAGGGGGAGAGTTACCGCCATGACAGGCCCTGCTCAGCCCAGGCTCCACTCACCTGCACTCC